GGGTCAAAATGTTTTCTCTGTGCTCGCTTTGACAAAGAAATAAAATAACAGAGAACTGTCTGACAAATATAAATATGCGGGAGGACCTTCCTGTAGTAAAGAAACGTGACTTCACCAGGACTCTTGTTTAACAATCGAGTTGTGCAAATGGTTTCTGGAGCCAACAAGATGTGGGAGCCTCCTTCTCAAAGTCAAGTTTGAAGTTTGAAGATCTGAGCTTGGACCAGTACCTTTCTCATACCCTCCAGCTGTCTCTGTTTGTTCTCATTGGCCACCTGGAGCTGCTTCATCCTCTCTGCCAGGTCGTCTTCCTCCGCCTGTTGCCTCTGCCGGAGCTCCCTGCGCCTCAGCCGGGCTTCGCGGTGAGGAGATGACAGCCCCAACCTCAGCAGCTGGATGCATGTTTGAATAGCTACCGCGACACGGAGCGAGATTGAGACAGTATGACATTCAGAAATTCAAGAGACGAAGATGAGGAAAATAAAGAGACGATGATGATGAGACTCTTTATGACGAAGCAGTTACAGAGAAGAGGAAGATGACTATTCCGTACCTTGAAGCCATTCCTGCTTCTTCTTTTTATCTGATGCACTAATCTCAAAGCTTTTATCAGTGCACTTGATAATGAAGAGACATTTCTTCCCTTCTTTATCCGGCAGAGACTGGAGGAGAGAAACATTTTTAATATACTGTATTATAGCACTGCAGCCACATCGTATTTAAATTCTAACGTGATTCATTGCTGTTTGAACAATGCTAATTCTATTTCTGAACCAAATCAAATCCTTGAGGAAATGTCAGTTATAAGTCAGTTCAAATGATTTAGTCAATACAGCATTACTTACATATTATGTATAGTCATATACTGTAGTTAACAACACACCTCCACACAGCAGGTCCGGTCCAGAATGATGTCTCCTTTCTTCTCCACAAGGTCCTCACAGACGTAGTATGACAGTGAGTTTGGTCGTAGGACAAACCAGCGCTCTGTCCAGTTCTTCCTTCTGTGGCCCTTTTTCATCATGTATCCCTTTGAAACCCAGTGTGGACGTAAACAAAAGACACTTGAGTTGCCTAATCATTCTGCCGTAATCAGTGTGATATATTACTAAACGTAACAAGTGATGCCACCTGTTATGGGTCTGCCTGTGCACACAGTACACCTAAGATCAATATCGTGTCTGACCTGCTTGAGCACATCCAGAATGAGTTCCTGGAAGACCTCAGTGATGCCCATGGACAGGGTCTGGTGGTTCATGCCCTTGCTGAAGTACCCAATCCCCACCAGTTCAATCAGCTCCCACACAGTCAGGCAGTTCTTCTTTGCGTTCAGCTGCAGCTTGTAGTCTGCAAACTTCTCCTCACTCCATCCGCTCCCCATAGCCTCCATCAGCTTTCGCAGGCAGTACTCAATCTAAGGAGATGGACAGACAAAAGAGCTTCAAAACCATGGTCACCCACAGAAAACAACTGTAAGGATCTTCCTCACCTCTTCGGTAACGATGATGAGTGGGTAATTGTCCTCTGACAGAAAGTTGAAAATGCACCAGACTTTGAAAGCATCGTCATCTGAGACGAGGAGACGTTTAGTGCAGATATTTTTGTTGTAACACAGTGTCCAGCACATCTTGTTGAACTCCAACACATTGAACTCCTCCTGCACCTGGGAACAAAATGCACCATTCAGTCAAAGTCAAACTGGTCGGCACCAGTGAGTGTTTACAAATGCTAAGCAGGAAACCGGTGTTTGTCTCCTTTCAAAACCTCCAGTCTCCAGGATGTGAGGTACAAACCTGATGTAATTAAATGCCTCATTTTTATTCAAGTCAGAGCCTACGAGAGAAAGGCAAGAAAACAGCTTCCAAGTGGAAAGAGAGAAACTCAAGCAGTTTACTGACTGACATGAGACTTCAACAGATATGTTTGCAGAGTTTTACACGGTGCTCGCTAAACTACAGGGTAAAAACTCCACAAGAGACAACAATGCAGCTTTAGCAAAGAGTGTATAAGGATGCTGCCCATTTTACCTAAATTTATTTTACAAATAAATAAATTATTAGACAAAGCACATTGTTCCTGTGGGTACAACAGAGAAGTGGTTGTAAGCATTTCCTCTCCTACAGAACAGGTCATGATTAGTCATCTTAATCTGTGTCATACACTCTTCAAACGAGTGTGTGATGGTGTTTGTATTTTCATTGTTTGTGTAACTGTCTAAGTAAGTTGAAGTCGTAGCCCTTTCAACTTATTTGCACTCATGACATTCAGCATAAATAAGAGCATTGGTACCACTAGGGCTGTCATTGCTGCATCATTACTTCTTAGCAGCGACTCAAATGCATCAGTGGCACCGTGACCATATATAGAAAAACAAACTGTCAAGTACCAACAACTGGCGTTTAATGTTTGGTCAGATTTGTAATTTTATTGACTCATTATTTGATCAGATAGTTCCTGAAGTTCTTTATGCAAAGTTATGCAAATGATAGTGTGTTGACTGGATTAAAAACACTCTCTTACAACTATTCCAGCATCTTTGTCCCCACCTTGTCTAGAATGAACCTGTTGAGGTAAGGCATGTAGCCCTGGTTGGACAGAGGCCCTTTATTGTCATCTTTGAAATGCTCTTCAAGGGCCACAGGGTCATGAGGGATCTTCATCACTGTGCACAGGCTGTGGGACAGCACCTAAAGAAACACATTTGTTTATGTATGGGTACCTTAAAGATGAAGATCAAGATCAGTCTCACAGTTTTAAGATCATTCAACCGCTCATGCAAAAACCTTCCACTGACAAGCATCACTAGCCAAGCGCTACGTCTGTTCTTGAAGGTGATATCTCACTCCTTTGACGAAAGTAGAATGTCTCATGACTATCATGAGTACACCTCTAACCTCACAGTGAGAGGAAAAAAAGTGATATTCAGGAATTGTTATGAATGTAAGGGTTTATTCCGACGGAAACATTGGGACACAAACCGTTACAACTATTGTAACGACAGGGATTAAAAGTAACGTAACACTCTTTGATGAAGTAGCCCTAACGTCTACCGGTACATAAACAACTAACGTAATGATAGGGCATCAAACGTAAAGTTACATTTGAGATGAAGTAGACTACACTGTAAATTTGGGATTAAGTACACAGTCAATTTGAGATGAAGTACACAGTAAATTTGAGATGAAGTACACAGTAAATTTGGGATTAAGTACACAGTAAATTTGAAATGAAGTACACAGTAAATTTGGGATTA